CAAGTGCGCCAGTGCAAATGCAGGACAGCGCATAAGCATATTTAGTCCCCTACATATTTTATATTTTAAAATTACTCTCTCATCAAATCATTTGAATTACTATTAGGGCCCCTAGTACTTAGTTAACCTGAAATTAGTCCATCGAATTATTGAAATTGCTATGAGGTCTCACAATTCTTAAGTGGATTTAAAATTAGTACATCAAAATCAAGAGTAGAAGTAACAAGTAGAATGATTAATTTGAAATAACTTGTCAGAATTGAGAACCTGTTAGCAATTTCAATGATTTGAGGAATAAAAAACTAATAGAGATTTCAATAATTTGTGAAACTAATTTCAAATATGAAAGATTTAAGAGACCACATAAAACCTTATAGCGGTGAATGGTTTAAAAAAGAAGAAGAGATGCATCGCAAGTCTGACAATAATTCATGTGCTTTCCACGAAGTTTTTTCGTTCTCTTGTTTCTCTGATGATATCATTGTTACGATGTCTGTCTCATTCATTATTCATTAGCTTATCCTATCATAATCCTTGTTTTATCATATAAAAATACGTTATCAGTATGGAAAGGATATCAATATTCTATGGTTAGCTTGTCACTCAAGACTCTTCACAATGGACAGGTTTTGTCGTTTGGGTATTTTGGAGAATATTCAAAATCGGCTAAATACCCATATTGGTATTTTAATTCCACCTCATTTACCAAGAATGTATTTTAATTAGGCAAACCTGTTTTAAGACATTTTAATTAATTCAATTTACCAACAATGTCCTTTTTTTTGTCGGCGACCAGTTTTCCGGCAAGAGCTTGTCACGTGTGTGGCACGTGATGACTCAAACTGTTTTTTAGCTGCTGATGTGGTACGGATTTTCTGACGTGGCCGTGTTTAAAGGCGAGAATTAACCTTCTAAAAATCTCAATTCACCCAAAATAGGACAGATCCGTACCACATCAGCAGCTAAAAAACAGTTTAAGTCATCACGTGCCACGCATGTGACGAGCTCTCGCCGGAAAACTGGTCGCCGACGAGAAAAACGGTCTTGTTAGTAAGTTGAATCAATTAAAATGCTTTAAAGTAGGTTTGCCTAATTAAAATACCTTCTTAGTAAATGGGGTAGAATTAAAATACCAATATGGTTATTTAGCCATTCAAAATCAGTGTGTACTCTGTTCTAGAAGCCAACCTGAAACAATTAGACACCTATTCATTGAGTGTTAGTTTGCTGCTGAAATTTGAAATAAAGTGATGGAATGGATGAATTTTTCTTGGAAATCATGTGATTGGATACAAGTCATTAACTGGTATTCTTTAGCTGGATGACGACAGAGAATCTCTCCTTTTATACAAGATGTGTCCTATTCTCCCTTTATCATATATATATATATATATATATATATATATTATATATATATATATATATATATTATATATATATAATATATATATATATATATATATAAATAAGAATAATGGAGGTAGTTTGCAGCTCACCTCTCCCCGTGAGCTGCAAGTGTATGACATGTGAGCCCACACCGATGGTGACTAATAGGGGGCTCATATGTCATACACTTACAGCTCACGGGGAGAGTGAGCTGCAGCTCACCTCTATATAATATATTTGAATTTGTTCCCGAAATTGTTTTCCCAAAGGTTCCATCCACTCATACCCATGTGAATTTTGTTCCACATTGAATGAGTGGAGGAGATTTGACACCTCACTATCAAGTACAATTTTTTGTGCTTGGTGTCAAGCATACCATATTTCTCTCTCTCTATATATATATATACTCTCATCTCTATATACTCATATATACTATATATAATATATATATATATATATTATATATATGATTAAAGTTACGTCTTTTATTATTTGAACTGAAGTGTCCAACCATCAATGCGCATTATTTGTTGTCAGATAATGCCAAACGCATTAGTTAATCGATGCAAAAGAGGACCTACATTTTTTTATACTTACCTCCTGCCCCCCCCCCCCCCCCCCCCCCGGCTCTCTGTTCTTTCTACATTACGAAACTAAAATATTGCAAGTGGCGCCAGTACAATGCAGGACAGCGCATAAGCATATTTAGTCCCCTAAATATTTTATATTTTAAAATTACTCTCTCAAATCAGTTGAATTACTATTAGGGCCCCTAGTACTTAGTTAACCTGAAATTAGTCCATCGAATTATTGAAATTGCTATGAGGTCTCACAATTCTTAAGTGGGTTTAAAATTAGTACATCAAAATCAAGAGTAGAAGTAACAAGTAGAATGATTAATTTGAAATAACTTGTCAGAATTGAGAACCTGTTAGCAATTTCAATGATTTGAGGAACAAAAAACTAATAGAGATTTCAATAATTTGTGAAACTAATTTCAAATATGAAAGATTTAAGAGACCACATAAAACCTTATAGCGGTGAATGGTTTAAAAAAGAAGAAGAGATGCATCGCAAGTCTGACAATAATTCATGTGCTCCTTTCCACGACGTTTTTTCGTTCTCTTGTTTCTCTGATGATATCATGGTTACGATGTCTGTCTCATTCATTATCAGCGGCCTCAGTCGCCCACGTTCCTTTGACAACAGCCGTTTTTGACTTTGGATAAAGGAGCGGACCCCACATTATTATTATAATATAAATGCATAGTAATTTATTATTATTTTATTATGTATGATGTTTTTCAAAATCCTATAAATAGGCTCTAAATCCTTAAGGAAATCTCATCACAGAAACAACTTCTTATATAGAAGAGTGAGAGAGAAAAAATAGAGAGAGTTTCTCTTTGTAAAGAGAGAGAGTTCGTAACTCCAGAGTTTTTCTCCTCATAGTGGATTCTTCTATCCTTGCCCGTGGACGTAGGCAATCAAGTGCCGAACCACGTAAATCTGTGTGTCCAACTTTTTATCTTTACTTTTGCTCTACTATTGCTGCGACCCTGCTCTATTGGGCCCCGGGTTTGTCCCAACAAGTGGTATCAGAGCCAACTTAGGGTGCTTGTATATATCTACTTATCGTATGCTCTGTGGCTGCCACCAAAGGTGGATCTTCCACATCAGAAAATAAGTTAGGTTATCATTTACCCTTTGAAGGTGACGGGCACTATTCATGAGTACGGTACTGTTCACAAATACGGTATTATTCACAAGTACGATACTATTCACGAATACGGTTACTGTTCATAAATACAGTTACTATTTATGTGAAATAGTAAGAAGTTACTGTTCGTGGTAGAAGCAATGGCGGCAAAGTTCAAGATCGAGAAATTCGACGGGAGTAATTTCTCACTGTGGAAGTTGAAGATAAAGGCGATCTTGAGAAAAGATAATTGTCTGGCGGCCATCGGTGCAAGGCCGGACGACATCACAGATGATAAGAAGTGGAACAAGATGGACGAAAATACTATTGCAAATCTCCATCTGACATTAGCAGACGGGGTGCTGTCAAGCATAGAGGAGAAGAAGACAGCAAAGGAGATCTGGGATACTCTAACAAAGCTATATGAGGCGAAATCCATTCATAATAAAATCTTCTTAAAAAGGAGATTTTACACTCTTAGGATGGCGGAATCTACATCGATGACCGACCACATCAACACCCTAAACACACTGTTCTCCCAACTCACAACGTTGGGGTATACAGTTGGTGCGAATGAACGTGCAGAACTTCTACTTCAGAGTCTATCTGACTCGTATGATCAACTCATCATCAACTTGACAAACAATGTCCTCACGGACTATCTAGTTTTCGACGATGTTGCAGCCGTTGTTCTGGAGGAAGAAAATCAGCGCAAGAACAAGGAAGACAGGTAGTCAAGTTCGAAGCAAGCGGAGGCCTTGTCGGTGACGAGAGGGAGATCAACAGAACGTGGCTCCAGTGGGAGTCATTCCCATGGTAGATCGAAATCACGAAGTAAGAAGAATATCAAATGCTACAATTGTGGCAAAAGAGGGCACGTCAAATCGGAGTGTTGGCACAACAAGAAGAGTGGAGATAAAAAGACTTCAGAGCCATCAACATCTCAAGGATGTGTTGTCAGCACGTCAGATGATGGTGAAATTTTATTCAGTGAAGCAACCACTGTTGATGAAGGCAGAAAGAAGTTTACTGATGTCTGGCTTCTAGATTCAGCAGCCTCTTGGCACATGACCTCTCAGAGAGAATGGTTTCACAAATATGAACCTATCTCAGGAGGATCTGTATTCATGGGGAATGATCATGCCTTGGAGATTTCTGGTATTGGCACTATCAAAATCAAAATGTTTGATGGTACAATACGCATCATTCAAGATGTGTGACATGTGAAGGGTTTAAAGAAGAATCTATTGTCTTTTGGACAATTAGATGAGCTCGGGTGCAAGACTCATA